CCCCTGCCTCTGTCACACCAGGTCCCACCTCCACGTCCGCGATGCCATTCGATATTAGTAAGTGTATTTCGTTAGTGCCTGTTTCAGAGAATCTGAGGTTGAGTCATTCTTTGCAGCATTTGAGCGCGTTGCTGGGGACACCTGGCCTGTTTAGTTAAAATGCAAGTTTCCTGGTAAAACTCAAGGTGTTGGCAGCGCTTCCTTTAAAAGATACGATCCGGTTAAAGCTGCCGTCTAACAAGCTTTTAAGTCGGTCCCAGAAGCATTTAGACAAAAGTTTTGACAGAAAAAGAAAACTTTTGGACAAACGTATGTTGAGTTTGGCAGACAGAAAGGCGTTCCCTTTGATAAGTGGAGCGCTGCTTCCAAGGTCAACCATGATGCTTTACGTCAGCTAATATTGTTAGACTTTAGGAAGTGTATTGCAGATCGTTGGATGTAAATGAACAGACAGAGAACACTCTAGCTGCTGTTCTTGTAGATGAGTATCTGCTGACTCATAAGTCGGCTTTCATTGTTAATAAGTTACGTGTTAATGCTGAGCCAAAGACCCTGATGGTTAAAACCAGTTCCTAAAGCAAGCAGGGAAGGTTCCTATTGTCACAAACCTGGACATGGCTGATTGTTTAGGTCAGAGCGAATGAGATCACAGCATGCATACACAATGAGACCATTTTATTTATCTCATAAAGCTGCAGCACCAATCCATACTTTTTATATTACAGTTTTATTGGAGTTGGAGGCTTAATGAGTTTCATCTGGTAGTGAATCTGTTGGCGCCTCCTACGCAGCCCAGCTCTGCTCCTCTGTTTGTTTCATTCATTACTGCAGCTTTAGCTCCTCTCTCTCCTCATCAGCCTGAATCTAATATTAGTTCCTCCTTCCAACCATCCAGAGGATCCGGAATGTCAGACCAGATTCAAGCACATGTGTGTGGATCTGTTCGCTGTAGATCTTTGTGCTTCAGAGCGGGTTAGCTAAGGTTAGCCTTTCACTTTTTACCTTCAGACATCAAGCAGCATCAGAAGGTAGAGCTGCTGCTTCTGATCAGAGGATCAACCTCCTCCCCTTTTCTCCCTGAAAGATGATCCTCTAATAGAATCGCTTCTTCAGGCCCCAGATCCACCAGCAGGACCAGCAGATCAGGCCTGGGAGCTTCAGCAGGGGCGCCCCCCAGGGGTGGGTGCCCTGCTGCTCGGCCCCCTCTACGGGGGACTCTGACTTGCAGAAAAAACATTATTTTCATTTCAATTCTATTCAGTTTATTTCTATAACTCCAATTCACATCATGTCATCTCAGGTCACTTTATAGATCCAGATCAACCAGATCATCCAGTCAGATTGATTCAAAGTTTTCTATCTAAGGAAAACCAGCTGATTGCATCGACTCATTGACTCTTCAGCAATCCCTCACACTAAGCATGCTTGTAGCGACAGTGGAGAGGAAAAAAATCATCTGGTTATCTCAAGAGATCAATAACTGTTTTCTTGTGATAAT